CCCAGCCTCAGAAATGCTCCCTCAGTTCATGGAAGTGGTGTCTAACAACACTGGGTTAAAGATAATGGGCAGCCATCTTTTGTTTGACCATGACTATCACTGATACAGATGTCATTTTTACATTTTCGCTCCTTGTGAAAATAAGTAGGATTTCCTGGAGTTCAAAGGTCACACAGCTTTTATAAGAAACTTCATTCTAAAAAATTAGACAGGACAGAGGCTTCAGTTTTTTCTATAAAAATGTTCAATCTTGATCAGGATCTTGTCTCGTCTCTTGAGATGAGTGTCTTGTTCAGGTTTGTGACTATCACACCTTTGTCTCTAACCTGAGCACTAACAAAACTTAGTTTAGTCGGAAGTTATACTTGGAAATTATTATTGTGTTTTCTTTGTGGTCATTGTATGAGCAGGTGTAGATCCAAACTCATCTGTCCACATAAAAATGATGTTTATCCATTTAAGGTTCCACATGGAGACTTGTTGAAAACTCACTGAACATTTGTAGTAAACAGCAAACAGTCCAGCTGTCAAGGATTTTTTGGTCAAAGGTTATGGATGTTTTTATTATTATGGCTGAGAACATTCTTACCCTCTGCCCTGAGAACAAGAAGCCCAAAACAATCCAAAATCCTCTCTCAAGACACTATCTTATCTCTGCCCATGAACCATATGTTTGAGTAGATGGCTGCAGGCTGCGGCTGACTTCAGGGACACCGCCTGAACTCTGTGAACTCAGCTGAGCGGAGAGGAGGATAAAAGCGAGCAGATAACGCAGCTCATGGCTTTTTTCTGTGACTGGTTTTCATGTGTGTACATCTAGAGTGGTGCTTAAAAGTTTGTGAACCCTTTAGAATTTTCTATATTTCTCCATAAATTTGATCCAAAACATCATCAGCTTTTTACACAAGTCCTAAAAGTAGATAAAGAGAACCCACTTAAACACATGAGATAAACATATTTTACTTTGTCATTGACTTATTGAGGAAAATGATCCAATGTTACATATATGTGAGTAGTAAAAGTATTTGAAGCTCTAGGATTATCAGTTAATCTGAAGGTGAAATTAGAGTCAGTGTTTTCAATCAATGGATGATGATCAGGTGTGAGTGGACACCCTGTTTGATTTAAAGAACAGGATCTATCAAAGTCTGATCTTCACAACATGTTTGTGGAAGTGGATCATGGAGGAACAAAGGAGATTTCTGAAGACCTCAAGAAAAAGTTGTTGATGCTCATCAGGCTGGAAAAGTTTACAAAACCATCTGTAAAGAGTTTGTACTCCATCAATCCACAGTCACACAGATTGTGTAAAAATGGATGAAAGACCATTGTTACCCTCCCCAGGAGTGATGGACCAACAAAGATCACTACAAGATCAAGGTGGGGAATAGTCGGCGAGGTCACAAAGGACCCCAGGGTAACTTCTAACAACTGAAGGCCTCTCTCACATTGACTAATGTTAATGTTCATGAGTCCACCATCAGGAGAACTGAACAACAATGGTTCATGGCAGGTTGAAGGAGGAAGACACTGTTCTCCAAAAAGAACGTTGATGCTTGTCTGCAGTTTGATAAATATCATGTGGACAAACCAGAAGACTGTTGAAGAATGTTAGGTGGAAAGATGAGACCCAAATAGAAAAGTATTATGTTTGGAGAAAGACTGCATTCCGG